TGACAACAATGGGCAAGGGATTAAGGGGGATGGTAAGACAAACATCCACTGAGAATTGGTTTCAAATTATTTTAAATCACCTTCATTTCTATTGCACACTTGCTTTTACATATTTTTCCTCTCTATTTTTGTGAACTCAAATCTGTAAAAATGTGAAAGTTTGGGATAAATAAAACCTTTAATTTCTTTACCCATTTTATGGATATTTCATACACTGGAAAAGTTCTAAATTTAAACACCATACTGTAAAAGGACTGTTATTGTAGTGGAATGTAATGGGTGAATTTTAATGAGGCAAAATTACACTTTAATGCACTCAGTGGAATATGATTTAGATGTGATTTGTTCATGAATTTATAATGATAATGATAACGATTACGACGAACTCACCCCTTCATCCTTTGTATAAAATATCTTCATCTGACAATAAAGTTCTAATAAAATTAATCTTCACTGACAAAAATCTCGACATGAGTAGGGGTTATTCTTTAGAAAACTAAAAATGAAATGATAATTCTCAAACTCACAGTCTGAGAACTTGGCAGACATGCAAAATGGTTAATTTCAAAGTCAAGTTCTACTCAACTTTCAAACATAATGGTGACTGAATGATTAGTTGTACCTGCTCACTCTTTTTGATTATACTATAAAAATGAAAACATTAGGAGACTTTATACTCTTCTGAATAAATTCGCCGATATTTGTCTTCACTGACAGGTACTAATTTGTGTTCTTCACACCACGGCACGTAAAAATCTCTGTACATTTTTTTTAATGTCATATTACGATTGATGTACATTTCAATGTGCTGTCTGGCTCCTTGCAGACTTTGCTCTGTGTACTTGTTTGGGCGGTTTGCATGCTTGCCACGCTGGTCTGGTTTCGGGAGCAGGTTTCCGTCCTTCATCTGCTTCATGAGGTTTCCGATTCTTCCTCTGCTGTTCTGGAGGCCATGAACACCCATGAACATTTCCTTACACACTTCCACATGTTTCCCTCTTATTTTGCACCAGTAGGTAAAAGTGTAGGTTCGTCTGTTCGACCCCTTTACATAATGCCGACTCACTGGCTTAATTGAAATATTACCATAAAGATACACATTTTGTTCGTCAAAGTTGCCCATGTCCCAGAAAGCTGAGAAAATTTCTTCAGCCCCATGTTCAATTTTCGACCAGCATTTCTTTTTACAGTTACACGGAGGACCCATTGCACGGCCTCGTATCTCCTTCCCAGTCGCACGGGAAATGTATGGCCGACCTTGATCTCGGAAGAACTTCTGGTGTGTCTTTTTGTGCAAATCATTTGGAACTGGCTGCTTTTCACGCTGTACCCTTGGTGTCTGAAAGGAAGTTTCAGTAATGAAATTAAGTCTACTTCTTGCTGTCTATATTTTTACTCAATACTGTTACTTAATCATTAATATTACTACTCTCAATATTCCCATCATTACTTGTGCTGTCACCTTTATGAAATCATAAAAAGTATTTAATTATCAATCATCCTTTTATAGAAAAAATGTAACCATCAAAAATGCTGCTCTTGAAAACTAGCTATTTAGTTCATAAATCAGATAAAAAATAGGAATGAGCAGTTTCTCACTTTATAATGGAAGGATAACATCTCTTACATGTGTTTATGTATAACAAAATCTGTCACTATTCTCATAAAGTGTACTAATATCTAATTGCATATTCAGATCTATATGAATTAAAAATTTGTAGTGAATAATGCCTCAGGATAAGGCAGAACTGTAGCTATAAATCAATTTGTCAATGATATTTGAGTATGGTATATAATATAGATCATGCTTCTCTCTTCCTGACTGTCTCATTCACACACTCACCCAACCATACTGAAACATAACACTTACAAAATCTGCATTTTCCTGCTGCTGCTGTTGAGGATTATGGTGTAAGATGTGCTGTTGCTGCTGCAGGTGCTGAGGATTTTGCTGCTGCTGTTGTGGATGGTGAGGGTGAAGGGGATGAGGCTGCTGGGCTGAGGGGTCTAACCACACAGAGCCAGTATGTGTGCCATCCGCACGCGGCCCATACTGAGGCACCTGCACACAGTAGGGCCCATAGGGTCCCCCTGGGGGAGCCCCATAATGCCCCATCCCACTCATCTGGTTGTAACCTTTAGCAATGGGACAAGAAATCTTCAGTGAATATACAGAGAGAGGAAAGGGCAGGGGGAAGAGAGAGAGAATGAGAGGAAGTGGGGGGAAAGAGAGAGAAAGAGAAAGAGAAAGAGAAAGAGAGAGAGAGAGAGAGAGAGGAAACTGAAACAGCATTCCAGTGTGAGAGTGAGAGTAAGAGAGAGAGAGAGAGAGGAAACTGAAACAGCATTCCAGTGTGAGAGTGAGAGTAAGAGAGAGAGAGGAAACTGAAACAGCATTACAGATCAAATTCTTTCAATATGTTCTGTTAGGCAAGGATGAGCATATATTAGTGTGTGCTATTCTATGACATGACAGCCCAGTACCCATTACCATTGAATTAAAAGGCACATAAAAGATAGCAAGTACAGTTTTCATCTTGGTAATTCTTTATTGTATGGACACACTCACTAGAGTCTAAGTTCCTAACTCTACATCATAAAACTTATTCATTAATCTAAGTTCCCATGACTGAGCGGGCCCTTCGGAGAGTTCTTAAGGGGAGGGGAATGGGGGGGTTCTGCCCCCTGACATCCCTCAGTAAACATTGTCTCCTCATTATACATGATAGAGTACTGAGTGGACTTAGGCTGTGAACAGCACTCTCTGTGATCTTTTTCCTTAATTTGTGGCATTACCATTTGTGTCTACAGATTATTTAATGTCTCAACATCTGCATTTTATTGTTCTCTAAAAGAATATCATCTTCAATTTGCCCTTGCTTAGTGCATCCATACCATAAAGATTAACCTTCATCTTTTCTCACCTTGGATGTTGTGCTGTGGCTGCCCCATGTGTGGTGGGGCCACTCCATGGTCCAGCATGTGTGGCCGGGGCAGCAAGCCCTCACTCAGGGGGTCCACTGTCTCAATATCCACATCTAAGTTCTCGTCCTCCTTGAGTTCCACTTCAGGCACCAGTGCCATTTCCCCTGGCGCAGGTGAGCTGGTGTGGCTGCTTGTGCTGCTCTCGCTGTCACTGCCACTCTCACTGCTCTCGCTGTTGCTCTCGCTGTTCTCCTTGGGTGGGGACACCTTTTCCTGGTTGCTTTCTTTTCCCTTTTTAGTCTTCAGTGAGGGCTCCCCAGCCTCTCGCTTGATCTTCACACCGCTCTCGATAGCACATGGTTTTCCAAACTTGCTTTGCAGAAAGATGTTCATTGCCTCAAACCTGTTGCCTTGGGCAATCAGGTCACGAATGTGTTGCTTGTCCAAGTCTGCCATGTTTGCACACTTCTATGTCACGTCATTTAGAAAATATAAAATATCCGCATCTGGTTCCAGTTAGTTTCTTCTTTTTAAAAGTTAGAAATGCTGGCAGATACTATTATAACTGTTGATTAAACACTACAGTACATCGAAAGCCATTTAGTAGCATCTGAATCTGTCTAACGGACAGATCCGTCTGGTATTTCTCATTACACTAAGAACTCCAGTCTCATAACAGATCATATCTTCAACAATTTAAAGAGAACAGCAGCATACACTGCTCTGCATTCTCTGACAATATCATCAGCCTGTAAAAATGAACAGAAAATTAGCTCTTCATATTGCTATTACATTATCATATGTGATTATATGGTATCTGCAATAACAATTCAATACGAAAGATTGCTTGTTAATACTTGAAAAAAAAAGAAAAATAAGTTATAATTCAAAGTAAACTGGGATACCTCCAAATTCTAGATCTTAAAAAGGTATCCACAGGGATTCTGGGACCTTATGCTAGAGATGCTCTTGACTAGTATCCCTTGATGCTATTCTAAGTTGGACACTTATCTCCTAGATGTCACAAATATTACATACAATAAATTTTCAACTTGATTATTAATTTAAAGATAAATTCTAGAATATCTAAATATCTTAAGGAATTACTGCATAAGTTATCTATATCTGCTCTTACCTCTGAAATAAATATATAAAGGTTCTAACACAAACTAAGTATAGTATAGTGAACTTTGCAATAACACTGCATGACAGATATATTCTAGGTAATATATAATCTTTAGTTATCATTGCACCCATTTTTTCTAATAAAGTTTCAATAACCTTAATTATTCTATGAATGACTACATATAATTTTTTAACCAATTAATTTTTGCTAGTGAGCAAACATGTATGAAAATTATAAATTTCACAGTCACTTACATTTCCTTTCCCCATATTTAATTAAAAAATCATATTAGGAACATTAACCATTTATCTTATGCAACGATAATTACAAATAATAATTTAATAGGATTTAATCACTGCAACAGAAGTGCTGCAACTTTCCTCTTGTTAAACGTTTTGAGGTTAGAATCCACTTCCCACTTAGGGACTGAAAGAGATGAGAACATTTTGCGGTCCAAGCAGTCCTCAAATCCTCCTTGAAAATCTTTCCTGTAACGCTAGCTTAAAAAAAGTGAAGAACAATTGCTGTAAATGAATCCCAAAATTAAAAACCACTTGCTACATTTTCAACAAGAACACTCGCCCTTTGTTCCTTCAGATGACTCGGAAATATCCTTCGTCCTCAACTACATCCCTCAAGGGACTCCTCGAGTCAAGTCGGGGGACTGCCATGACCTTCTTGAGGGAGAAAAGGGGATAAATTCAGGTCATCTTCGCCTCCGTCTCGCCCCTCGTCCCTGCCCGTGGTGATGCTGGTAGCTATAGACGCCAGGATGTTTACCTCGGCCAGCCGTCTATTGTCCAGGGCGAGCGAGAGAGCGTTCGGAATCCCTTCTTACTGCAATCGGATCCTCTGTGTGGTGTCGACGCGCGCTGTGGTCGTTCTCGATCCCCCCTGCGCCCCCTTTGGGCCGTCGCCGCTCACCTTTGTTTTGTTTACAAGGATGCGA